TGACCAGACATGTGTGTGTGTGTGTGTGTGTGTGTGTGTGTGTGTGTGTGGATGGGGCTGTTGTTTTTTGCTCCGGGGTCTGAATATTGTCCAGCAAGGATTACGTAACAACAGCGCAAGCTGAGTTTCATTTGGTCTGTAAACGCGTGACAGGCAGCGCAAGCAGCTGCAATGCAATGCGATCTCATCTCTCTCTCTCTCTCTCTCTCTCTTTCTCTCTCTCTTTCTCCACCTCTAAAGATTCAACAAGGAGCTCTTTTGTACAACTTTCAAGCAAAACATTTCACCAAATGAAATTTTAGTTTAAGGTGACAAAACATTCTGTACATAATTAAGACAAAATTTGGGCACTTTATGAAACCTTAGTGCTGGGGTTCTCAACTCTGGCCCTTGAGGTCCATTTTCCTGCGGAGTTTAGATGCAACTCTAATCAAACACAACTGAACAAGCTAATAAAGGTCTTCAGGATTACTAGAAAGTTACAGGCAGGTGAGTTTGATCAAGGTTGGAGATAATCTCTGCAGGAAAGTGGACCTCGAGGGCCAGAGTTCAGAACCCCTGCCTTAGTGGGTCATGCAAATATCATCAAATTATGTTGATTGTACCGCATCCAGATTAGACTGTAATTTCCATTAAACTAACAAAGAATTCCATGCTGTTATCTTGTTAAATGTATGATCATTTGTGAATGTTTTTCAGGGGATGGCTGTGGACACACAGTGCTGGGTGTGAGCAGTGGGAGCCTGGCGTCTCTGGGGTACCCTCTGTCCTATCCCTCAAACTCTGTGTGTGAATGGGAGATCAGCGTGACCACCGGACACACAATCCTTGTGCGCATTGCGGATCTTGACATAGACACAAACAACTGCCAAGTTTCTTACCTGCGACTCTATAATGGCCACGGACCGGGGCGAACGGAAATTGGTGAGAAACACTTCTGAACACAATGTGCATTTGTTGTTGTTGTTTTTCTAGTCTTCAGTCACATTTATACTTATAATATAAATTGAGATCATTATATTAAATTTGCAAAAAAGTCTTTTATTTTCAAAACTTTTGTAATCTATGGCCCTATTTACACCTGGTATTAATAAAATTTGTTGTCGAAAAAGTTGCCAAAAACTGTGAAACTATACTGCAGTGTTGAATTGAATGAAATATCTTTATTGTCATTGTATGAGAGCAGTTATTATCCCTTATACAATACTGTAAAAACTATAAATAATTTCAAATAAACCAAATAAATTAAAAATAAGAGTAACAAACATTATAAACTATGTAAACCCGTTTCCGTCACTGAATAAAAAATAAAAAAGGTAATTGCGACTTTTTATCTCACAAATCTTACTTTTTTTCTTGTAATTGCAAGTTTACATCTCACAATTCTGACTTTTTTCTCAGAATTGCGTGATATAAACTCGCTATTGCGAGTTATAAAGTCAGAATTGCGAGATAAAAACTCACAATTGCGAGTTATAAAGTCAGAATTGCGTGATATAAACCCGCAATTCTGAGAAATAAACTCGCAATTGCGAGTTATAAAGTCAAAATTGGACTTTATAACTCGCAATTGCGAATTTATATCACGCAATTCTGACTTTTTTTCTCATAATTGTGACTTTATATCTTGCCATTTTGACTTTATAACTTGCAATTGCGAGTTCACAATTCTGAGAAAAAAAGTCTGAATTGCGAGATAAAAAGCAATAACCTTGTTTTATTCAGTGGCGGAAACGGGCTTCCATAAAAAACCTTAATGTTACCTTAATGTTAAAATAATATATAAGTAAAAATAATAATAATAATAGTAATAATAAAGTAAATATATGTTGTTTACTTGTATATATGTCACAGTGAGAAGATAAGATTGCAATTTCTGTTTTATGCTGTTTTATGGCAGCAAAACCACCCACTAATGTACAGAGTGCTGATGAGTGAATGGAAAAGAATTGAAAATGATTTCCATTTCTCTTTCTGCAGTGAAGTTTTGTGGAGGGAAAGAATGGAAAGACGCTGTCATACAGTCGGAGGGGCATCAGGTCACAGTGCAGTTCATGAGTGGACCACACAAAAACGGCCGTGGCCTCTTCCTCTCCTACACCAAGACTCAGCACACAGGTAAGCAGTCAAGAAACACTTCTCGCTATTATCAGTGTTAAAAACAGCTGCTTAGTATAAATATATATATATATATATATATATATATATATATATATTGTG